TGCTTTATTTATCGAAAAACCTCTCTCAGGATCAGAATTCCCATGTGGCAAAATTAAAACAGTTTTAATTAATGTAGTTAAATTCTTATATTTTAGATTATTGCTTTTTTATTTATATTCAGCCTATAACTCTAATTTTTTAGGAACACCAACAAAATTTTATCAGATTTTTAGGAATTTTAGGGTTTGCACATAGTTTTAGGAATTTTATGAATTTTAGGGGGAATGCAACCCCTGGAAATGTGTTCTGAAAGGGGTTCCGTCGTTCGGGGGTATGGTGTTCTGCTGTTCGCACTGGTTCTGAACAACACTGGTAAATAAGGAAGCAGCTAGATAACAGGGACTGATGTTGAAAATAATGAAAGATCAAGGTAGAAAAGTGAAATGGATTTTATTAAAAATGGCACAAGACGAAACTTTTTCCAAAAAGTTTCGCCTTGCGCAGTCGAACATTTTGAAATTGATTAATAGAATGCGCGAATATCGCGCTGTAATAATTTTTTAATTTGAGAAAAGGAAAAAATATGCGAGATTCTCGCGTTGTAGTGAAAACATTGGGCAATGGATTGGAATGGATGGCTCATTAGAAATTCCTAAAAATACTGTACCATCATATTGTTTGCTTTCATTGTTTTACTATTATTAAATTTCTTTATCAAATATGGTTTCTTTATTCAATTTACCACTGAATCATTCTGCAACAATTCCCTCTCAATTTTCAAAAATAAATTCAAGGACTTTTCAATGACTTTAAAGGACCTAAAATCAAATGTTTCATGGACCTATTCAGTAATAAGTAGCATGCTTAAATACATGCCAAACAGATTTTATTACGGTGAAGCACATATTAAAGTTTATAAATTTTACATTGTTTAGCAGTTGTGACAATTTTTTAACATGAGTAGCCCTCATCTATCAATGGAAATGGTTTCATAGTTACATTGTGATTAAAATGAGTTTGAAGATTAGCAAAAAATTTCCCATTCACTTTAGCATACTTGTAAGCTTTTAAAGACTGGTGCCAGCAAAAATTTTCATGAAAAATTTAATAAAGCATATTAGAATTAGTTAAAAAATAATATTTGGCGTATCTGTTTCACTACTAAAAACACAATATCTTTTTATTACCACAGAATATCAGTTACATATTTTGGACATAATAAAATCTTTTGTAGTATAATATTTTGATGGTTAATGAAGATTTATCAAACTTTATTTTCGTTAAAATAAGATCATAAATTGCAAAACATGATGTTTTAAACTGAGTAGGTATATACAATTCACTATACCTAATTTTTAAGTCATGTCTATACAATCGCAATAAATTAAACGTAAATCAAATTCAATGAAACTTGAAGCAAGCCTTGAAGTTTGCATAAATTACATAGCACAAAGTATGACTTGTTAATTGTAATGCAATATAGATTTCGTAAATCAAAACAATAGGAATAGCAGTTTGAAAAATGCTCAAAGTAACAAGTCATAAATTGTGATATATAAACCAGTTTAATGCTTATCACATTAAGTGATTCTTTGATTACTTTAATGCAAAACCAAATGAGTGTTTTGCTAATCAATATTATAAAAAAATCTGTGCAATCTGGTAATCATTTTAATGTGATTCGTGACTCAATAAGCATAACTTAAATTAAAATCACTTGTGATTCATAATCCACTTTGAAACAGTAATCCTCCAATAACCTTCTAACATGAATCCCAATGTGATTCATAAAACAAGCGATTAAGAATTGTAATGCATGATTTAGAAAACACNGAAAGGAAAACAATAAAGATTACTATTTATATTTTGAAAAGCCGACCAGGCGGCCGAGTGGTTAGCGTTCCTGACTGCGGAGCTGATGGTTGCTTCTTTCTCTCTCTCTGTGTTCTATGTCCTTTCTTCTGTGTGATTGCAACCCCCCACATATAAACGGGTTTGTGGTTGTATGAAGTGAGCGACGCTACTCCACCGGGTAGTGATACTCTCACTGGGTAATGATAAGAGAGTAGCAATTCCGAGATTTCTGAGGCCAATGGGAAATAGACCCAAATGCCCGCCATTAATTAAAAAAAATTGGAAATCATTCTGCCAAAAACTTTTCGGGGCCTTGTTTTTTTTTTCAACAAAATTCAAGGACTTTCTAAGTTTTCCAAGTACCCTGGAAACTTTGTGAGATGCATTAAATACTCCAAAACAGTAAAATTCCAGCACAATACGAATGAAATAATAGTGTTATAAATGAAGATAATGGCATAAGTCTGCATGTGAATAAACGTGACCTTTGAAATTTATCCGAAGAGCATAATATCTTGTTAACGACAAAAGAGAAATGTTTCCAACTGATACTGTAAAGTTAAATACACCAACCTTCATCAAAATGAAATGACTAACCCATGCTCTCCTTACTTCTTTCAAAATAATTTATCTAATAATTCACTTCACTACATTACTCTTTAGGTCAGATAGACTAACCACAACAATTTCCAACAGCATTCCTTCCCACTCACCGCTTTCAACTTTGATTTGAATTTCTCATCTCCACTTTCTTCAACAGCCATCTGATTCTTTTAATAGGGAAAAAGGTTAGGGAGAATGCGGAGAGGGGCTCTCTTGCTCTTTTCTAATTAGACCCATAAGTTGCCCTTGAACAGGAAAAAAAGAAAATGATGGCAGCTAAAAATATTCAATCTCCAAAGGTAAAAAAGCACTAGGGGAGAGAGGGGCACCTTTCAACAGTTTTTGCTAAAGAATTATTTTGGAAGTTTTATTGCTTTCAAAATCTAAGTTCTAATTTTTATTTACTAAATTGATATTTGAGGTAAGCTCTCAATTTTTTCCAAAGGTCTAAGCTAAAGGCAAAATACCTAATTTTACATATTTAGTGAACCATGTACTTTGTTGAAATCTACCCCTCCTGGGGGGCAGTTTTCAACGGGTGGTGGGGCACATTTCAACAATCGAAGAGAACATAACAAGATCATACGTTTTGGAAAATTAACTTTATTCTTAAAATAATAATAACGAATGAACATATTGGATTGATTTAGGTTTTTTCTACATTATTTTGTATTTAATAAAATCAAAGTTTACGGAGAATGCCATGAAAAATATAACTCGAGCTGTTCCGCCACTTACACTTGGTTGAGGCAGTTTCATTTTAATGTTATTTCTACCTATACTACTAATATCCTCTTTTTCTGGAAAATAAGGCATTGATTATCATGCTTCGTCGCTCTTCAGAAACTACCTGCCCTACCTAACGAGCTACTAGCTTGGCAGCAACATTCGGAGCTGGAACAACTGTTAAAACTCCAGTTTTATCCAAGTTATATATTTGATCAACTGTAAAATGACCAGAAGTAAGAGCTCTCTTATAATTGTAGAAAAATTCTTCAACTTCTTCTTTATTAAAAGCTGTAGCTCTTGTGAAGCTGGTATTTTCGGGTTTTCTTAAAGTAAGCTGTGGGTGATGCTTCATAAAACCTTTAACCCAGTCAATTCCAGACATATCCTTTTTGTCTCAGCTACTTGGAATTTTGGAGTTGAAACGATCATAGGCAAGTTGTCGAACTTGTCTGTAAGTTAGACCATAATTGAAAATTGAACATGTAATTATGTATTCACAAAGCAGGGTAATTATGTATTTACACAGATGGACGTCAAAAATTTGTTGGCTTGTGTATTTAGAACTGTAGCACTTTGTGTTAGTTGTACATTGTTTGATTTCTTCAACCAAACAATTATTTGACTTTAATTTTTCTAATCTATAAAATAAAGCTGAAAAGTCCATTCCAAATAAGTCTGCTGCTGCTCTTAAAGATGCACTATTTCTGACAGCTTCCATTGCTTTTTCAATGTTTTGTTCACTAACTTCTTGTTTAGTGTGCTTTTTTTTATATGTTCACAACATTTTTATAAACTGTAAGAAGGTAAAATAACAGGATTGAGCATTTTATTAAATATAGTGTTACACAGTAAACTTTTCAATTTTCTTAAAATTAAATGATTTTCATTGTTCAAGGAAATTTTCTTGAATATTTTATTAAAATAATTATTTTATTGACGCTTTTAATGAATTCCTTGATAATAAATTCTATTTTCAACAACAATGCAACAAACTGAATCTTGATTTTAAGCTTTTAAAGAAATTTCATACAATTGAACAATTTTTTACAAACATGCTTCCTTGAACACATTTACATGTTTTTCAAAAAGTTTAGAATAATGTCTTACAGAGAAAGTTGATTATTTCAAATGTAACAATCGTAATTAATGGGCTTTTTGCAGACTTCTGCAAGATAACTTAACAAAAAATAATAAGCCCGGGGCACCTTTCAGCATTGTTGAAATGTGCCCCCTAAGCTCTGTTGAAATCTACTCCTGGTGCAGACATTTTGGTTTAAGTATTATCAACCACTTTAGAAAAATACTTTTTACTAATAAATAATACAGTTAGAAGCAGAATTAAATATACTAGCAGATGAGTAAATATCACTTACCTTATTAAAAGATTACTGGTAGATAAACAGTTTTCAAATCAGAACTGTGTTTTTACTTTTGGAATGCTAAAACATATTCCACTGAGTAACAAAACAATGGTAAAAAGAAAGTGCTTTAAACTAAATGTCAACAGTTATACATAATTAAAGCTCATTGTCTGGCATATTGGCCAATCATCAAGTAATATTAGAAGGCAGAAATTCTAGTTGTTGAAAGGTGCCCCATGTTGAAATGTACCCCCCCTCCCCTACCGCTTAAGTCGCCAGATGGTAGATGTGAACTTCTGCCGCATTAATGATTTAAATCATTAGCGCCCAAAAAAAATCTTAAGAACCGGTACTTCAGAAATTTTAAGAATCAGCATACTGTACCCATCAAATATACTATACCCCATCACTAACTTTAAATTTATAAAAGGGAAAGGAAAACAATAAAATTATTTCGAAGATGTACCCGGCTTTCGGGAGATTGAGTTATATAAAAAGCTTTAAATACTTACCAGAATTCGTTATTGTTGATTTTTAAAACCTTCACAACTAATAAAAAAGCGTAATTTCAAATGCTATAATATTATTATTTAAGATTTTTAGGGCGAATATTTTTTCAATTTGAACAATAGGCTGCTTCAAGATGCCTATTTCAGCTCGACTGCTTTACCATATTTTTGTTACTGATACTGTTTTAATATTAATTATTTCTTTTATTTTCCCTTTTCTTGGTTCCAACGTCTTAAATTCATTAATATCAATTCAGGCAAAATATAGTTGAGTAATTTAAATAATGTATCTATTAATTTTTCATTTGTGCCCGATTTTAGAGCTGAAGGGGAAATCGATAAAATTTTGATTGTGCGCATCATCTGTGCGCAAATCAATAAGTAAACTTTCTAAAAGAGCAACAAAAGTACTGAGGTGAAGTGAATTAAATTTTGTAATTTGTTTTTATTTATTTTCTAACAAAAAAATTATATATGTATGTTTAATTTTTTGTGCTTTTTTCCCTAATTAATTATTTCGAATAATTGTATTGTTATGGCTATCAGATTAAGAGACTCGGCATTTAAATGTCTGTTTACTGAAGTAAAAAAATTTCACCTTCGCCCTGTAAAAAAATTAAGTTTTCAATTCGATCCTTTTCACGAAAATGCTAAGTCTGTAAGGTAAGCTTCGTATACTATAGTTAATTCAAGAGTAAAGTAAAAGAATCAACAAAATATAGGTATGTCGCCATACCTTATATGGCTTGTGCCATTTAATACATTGTTAAATTCAAATGGTTATGGCCTCTACTGCTTAACATTAATGTGCAGACTAAAATCATTCTTGCTTGAGCCCCGACTCTACTGTAGTCAATATTTATTTTCGTTGTTTGTAGTGTAGTGAGCTTTTTTTTTTTTTTTTGAAAAAAAACCTTAACAAATTCAACTTCACAATTCACAAAATACTTTTATCTTAAAATTTTATTTTTGTATCCCGTAAGAAACGATGAATCCATATTATTGTGTTGATTTTTTAATATAATTTTTAATTTTCACAAATTATGTCTACATTTTCACAAAATAGGGGATATTCCCGTATCGTGATCTGTGGCAGAATAATCACCAAGTCGTGGCAACTTCCGGGCGGCAGCCCATCAGAAACTAAAAAAAGCATCACAAAAAGGGACCAAGTCGAAATGACTCGTAGCCACCCCCGGTCAAATATCTACAGATTTTTTTTAAAAAAATTTGCAAGTTTAAAATCTATTTGGCAATTGTAGTTGGCCCAACAGATCACGATATGGAAATATCCCCGGTACCTCTCAGAAAAGCCTAGACAGACCCCTGGCGATGCAAAAGAAAAAAATAGTAATTTGTAGAGGTCTCTGGCAACTACTTTTAATGTAAGTAAAAGGGAAGATTTCCATATGGTGATTTATGGCAGAATAATCGCTAAGTTTTGGCAACTTCTGGGGCTTCAACTTCCTGCACGAAACTTTAAAAAAAAACATCACAGAAAGGGGCCAACTCGATGGATATTACTAATAGCCACCTGTATGCAAAGTTCTACATGTTTCTTTTTTTTTAAAGAAAAAAAAATTCCAATTTTATAATAGATTTGGCGACTTTGTGGTTGTAGTTGACGCAACAGATCACAATATGTAAATATCTCCTAGTAAAGGAACGAGATTTAAACGCTGCTAGTTTTTTGATTCTAATTTGTAGAAAACTTTGAGATCATCAATGGATGTAATGAGAACGCCCTCATGGCTTAGCGTTACTAAGAATGGTGTATTTCGAACTATGCAGTACTAATATTTAATTAACCATTATGAATAATAGTTGATTTATCACTTTGGTTACACCTTCAAACGCGAATGTACATTCTTGAAATATTGATGTTATTTTAGTAAAGGAGTTCACTTACTTAATTTTTTATAGGAAATAAAAGAGGGTTAAACACTCAACAGATTTAAATTATCTGATTATTGCATAGTATTTTTTCAATTAAATATTCACTGTGGAGAAAGTCATAAAAAGTTGGAAGCTAAAAGAACAAATTTGTAAAAATTGTTTATTATACTGGCTCATGTGAACATGAGTAAATATTTTGTAATAATTTCTCATGTTTAAATTATCTATTTTTTTATTCAAAACAATTTTGGATCTGTGTGTTATTTAAGTTTTCCAGCACAGTCCGTCATCTATAAATAGTGAAATAGTCACATGCTAAAGTAGTTTGTTGTCACGACATTAAAAAGCTTTTCCAGTCACTGTTCTTGTGTAAAATAGTAGATAAAAAAAATTAAATGTCAAGTGCAATAGAAATTCTTTATAAATTTAACAAAATCAAATTATTATAACTTTTAAAAGTTAGAAAAAAAGCTATCTTTATTGTAAATTTCTTAGCACTGAATTATTAGTGATAAATAATGAAAATATACAAGGTGATTCTAAAAAGATGGGCAAAATTTTAGGAAGTGATAGTACACATCCAAGCAAACAATTTTTATCAAAGAATGCATGGTCGAAAACAAAACGCAAAACCGCTAGCGGGTGTCAAAGTTTATGTTCTTATATGAGGCAAAAACACACAGAGAATGATGAGGTTAAGTTATAAAAGCAAATTTAATGGCATGTGATTACAATAAGTGTTCAAAACAGTGGCCTGCAGCGACTATGCACGCAGTACAATGGCAAAGAAAAGATAGGCGAACATTCTGAAACACACCAGGCATATCACGAACTTTCCCTGCAGCAGCCGAAAGCTTGGCGACAAGTAACGCAGCGTAGTAACTCGCAATAGGAATGGAGCTTTCACGTTTGCATCAAATAACTTTCCAAATGCTCCAGCACCTTTGTGTTTTGTTTTCGACCATGCATTCTTTGATAAAAGTTATTTGCTTGGGTGTGTACTATCACTTCCTAAAATTTTGCCCATCTTTTTAGAATCACCCTGTATAAACTTTTTAGATGTTTGTATTTAGTTGCTAATTTTTTAAATTACTAGACTTACAGCACATTTTAAATTTAAATACTCTTTTCAATTTCAACTAATTATCAATTAGTATAACATTTGATCTGCTACATAGCAGAAATGCCAACTGTTCCAGATTAAACCAAATATTTTAAAAAATAGTAAGAAAGGCTCAACACAAAGTAACACAACTGTAACAAAGTAGTGTATCATATAAGTCTTTAAATTATTTAAATGTAGTGGTGAGTAAAAACCATTTATATAAAAATTACTAAACTAAGAATCATATGTTAAAAGACTTTACAACTATATAATATTTTTCCGCAGTCCAAGGCAAGTTAGCATCTCTGGCATGACAAAGTTTTCTCGAAAGAAAATTGTTAAAGTACATACAGGTTTATTGCAGATTAAGGTTTTTACTTTTGTAGTATGTACTGACCATTTTATTACAATATATTTTTACAAGATTTAATCCAATGTAAAGGGCAAGACTGGGAAATTTATCTGGTGGCCCCTGCAGACAAGTTTATTTGTGGCCATTTTTTGCTTTCCACTGTCCACTTTTTAGCATTAAAAGTACCTTAAGAATAACTTTGATTTTAAATTAGGGACATAACAAATAGTGAATTTGGCCGAATACTTCCTATACAAAAACCGCCATTTACTCATCTAATACCACTAGAACTCCTTTAGAGAAAAAGCCTATTGTTATAGAAACAAGAACAAACCTATGTTTAATAGAGTAGCATTGAGTAAATTATGCGAATAAATTTTTCATTTATTCAATTTATGCATAATGAGGCATCAGGCATTGTTCAATTTGTAAGTAACCACCATTCTTGAGTCTCTCTTGTCTGTAGAAGTTCTCGTGATAGCAGGAAAATACAACTTTCACGAAGTAACTTTATAATCTAATCAAAATTTTCATCAAATTTAAAGATTGTATTATGTAGCTCTCTCTTACTATGAGTCTGATCTAATTATATTTGATTTATTTATTTATTTTTTTTTGTATAGAGATTTCTTATTTCACATATCTACGCGTCGTATCAGGAAAACAAGTGACATTTGTATCATTAAAACTGATGTTGTGAATGATAGATCTGAACCTACTATTAATGTGGAGTTAAGTAAGTACTTTTAAATAGTCTATTATTTATTAACTAAAATTAATAGTTGGTAAAAACTAATGACAACTTATAAAAATAAGATTAATATGGAAATAGAAAAAAAAGTGTTTTTTATTTTGTTAATGTCTTATTTAAATTGGTTGAAAAGTTAACTACTAGTTTTTTTTTCTAAAAAAAAATATTTGATAGATTTTTTTACAGCCTTTGAATATTTGGAAGTTAGTTTATTTATTACCTACTCATTTGTTCACCTATTCTCTTAAAGTAAATTTGAACTCAATTTTTATTGTTTTGTTTTCCTTGTTTTGTCGTTGGTCACGAGTTCATTGCATGCAGTAAAACCTGAGCCAAAATCATCCCACCCAATGACCAGAACAATTTTGGCCCGCAGATGTTTTTTTATTGAAAGCTGTAACTAAAGTCAACTTCTTAAAAATATTCCGTTAGTTTGGAATAAGTTAAATGGAATACACTTGAGAACTGTTGAAAAAAAATATCAATTAATATTTTTAAAAATTGTATCTATACTAAGAGCTTGTTGAGTTGTTAGATTCTCATTATGAAATTTTAGTAAATAACTATTATCGGGTATAGTGAAGAAAAAAAAACTTATATGTTAGTGCATAAATAATGCAACTCCGGCTACTTAAAATCCTGAAAATTTTTCTACGAAAAGTAATTCGCCTAACAGTTTTTTGAAAATAAGACTCAGAGAAATGTTGGATTCATCATCGTTTTCAAAAAAAGTGAACAACTTCTCTTAATCTTTGATTCTAAGATAAAATACTAATGTTTAAAACTTTTGTCAGACTATGTATCAGAGATGTTTTGTTTGACAAGTTTCTCAACCTCAATGTCTCTTTCTTGCATGTTTTGATCAATGCTTTAATGCTTTGTTCCATTTAAATCTCTTTTTCTCTTCTTCATCAAAAACGGTTAAGTCATAAGTAGAAATCTCACCTTCCTCACTGTTCCACAGCCTGTATCAAGTGCCACTGGTTGTGTATATAACCTTGAAATTTTTCTATAGGTTATTGGATGATAGTTCTGAACTAAGAAATTTTATGAAAATTATGATATTAAAATTCTATAATCATATTCTTCCACTGGTTTCATATGCTTACCATAATTTACCAGCGTCATGGATCAGAGTTTCTAAGGTACTCAAATTGCATGCTCGACGATCAGATTGCAAATTAATTCTTTTCACAATGATAAGCTATTAATTTTTTTTCTTCAAAGAATGACCAAGGTAATCTTGGTCAACAATATTTCAAAAATCTGATTACAACTGTCACATTAATTTGATACTGCATTAGTAAATAGGCAAAAAAAAATTTTTTTTCATAATTATGCCAACTAAAAGTTACCTAATTATTAATTTTCTCTTTTATTAACTTAGAAATTACAGCCTTGCGTTACTTATGTTAGCTCCCAACGTGGTGTTTTTAAGTTAGTGCTGCTCACTAAAAAAAAAGTTTGTGTATCCCTGAGTTTTGCTCATCATTCTCTTTTGTAATCATCAAAAAACTGTTTTTTTTTCCTTCTTTCATTCATTTCATTAATTTTCACTTTTACTGATTTTCATTATTTAATAGTTATGCTTTAAAATATTTTCAGCCAACGGTCTGCACATTTTGTTCAAGTGTGCAAACTTATCAACTTTAGATGTTGCTAGAGAATACAACAAATTAATGGACAAATATGATGTGCAAGAGGAGGAATCTACTCTGAAATTAAAAGGTGCACTTCAAAAAGACTATTCAAAAAAGAAAAAGTGATTCATTAGTGTCTTATATTGAAAAGTAATCAGTAGTAACTCCATATTCTCAATATCAAAAATGAAAGATTCTTACAAAGCAAATGTTAACATATTTAACAAAGTGTATGATCAATTACCTGCCTTTGTTGATGTTTTTGATGAAGAATCATTCTATGTATTTGTAATATTTTTCACTCTGGGAACCATTCTTCTTGCTTTTATTTTGTCAAGATTCATCACCATTAAAGCCATTGATTGATATGTTGCTTTTTGGGTAAATGTAGTTTTTTTTTAAATTAATTTTTATTACAACAAAATTAAAATATTTTGTGTTACTGTTTTAATTATGTAAACCATGTTTAGAAATTAAAAGTGTGAAAACTTGTTTTGATAAATTCGTTTTTGTGCATTAGTAATTTCGAAATTTTTTTAATTCTATATTAATAAATGCTTTTTTATTTCTTATTATTTATCATAGTTGGCTACTAAACATCTAAGTTCTAACCACAAAATTTGTTATTAAGAACAAATTGTTAATCTTAGTAAAATATGCTAGAATTTTCATTTTATAAGTGTGGTTATCAACCATATTCAGGGCTGCGAACTTTTCATGCTTTGGGAAAATTTTTCGTAGTGTTAGCTAAGTTTATGTTTTAATGTTAGATCTTTTGCTTTTCAAATGTGTTCAAACTCTCTCAAGGTCAGGCTCTTAAAATGTTGGCAAAATTACCCGAATTACGAAAAAAAATTTGCAAAAAGCGTAATACTTGGCAGTTCTGCATATTACACAATTTCATTTTATTATTATTTTTTACATCATTTATTTTAAATTGATATTGCACTTTTCATATAATACTGTTATGTAAAAGCTTCTATAACTTGGGTGTTATTGCAGTTTTCACGATCGTTTATTATATCTAGCTGCTTTATAAGTAATTAATATATCTGTGGTTACATTCATGTGCAGTCATTTTTTTTAAAAGGTTATATAAATTGTATTTATTAACACAAACAGCTGAAGCTGTAAAGTGGACAAAAAGCTATATCTAGATATAAATATGAAATGAATCTTTCCTTTTCTGTTCAGTAGTTAAAAAACCTAGTTACTTTTAAAATTTTGATTAATATTGTTTTTGCGTTAAGCCACAGAAATGGCATTGAACAAAAATTATGTAATAAATCATTGAAAATGTTTTAAATGAACCAAATTCTTTCAAAGCAAAATGATTAGTTGTAGTTTTATCTCATGTATTATTTAAATAGTTTTGAAATTCTAAAAATAATCAAATTATATTGTTTGCTTATGAATATGAAATTCATAAGAAACTTCACCTTTTTTATATTATAAAGTTTAATTCTAGAATCCAAACTTTTTGCATTATTTTATTTTTCTAATAACTTTTTCAGAATTACAAAATTACAGTTGTAATTTCTTTTGAAATTTTACTGGACAAAATATTATGATGTCATTGCATGTAAACAATATATTATCCATTTAGTCTGCATTCTGTGAACATAGCTTCGTCACATTTAATTAACGTAACATTAATAACGTAACATTAATTCAAAATGTTTCTTGCTTGTAATATGCTTCCTTTATCCTTTTCCTCCATGATTGAAAATAAATTGTGAATATCTGAAAAAAGAATTTTTTTATTAACTGGTTTTGTACTATTCAGTTCAATGTAGCATTAATAAAAACCACATTAACTTAACAATTTCTAAAGCAAACCAAAATCGATACTTTATTTTTAATTCGCTTTATGATTTCCATTTTTTTTCTTCAAATAATAAATACTTAAGTTATTTTTATGTTTTAAGTATTTGTCATAAAAAATTTTTTTTCTTATTAATTGATATTATTAATTTTAATGCTTATTATGAATTTAATAAACGAAAATATTGATTTGTTCTAGATACACATGTTTAAGGAAGTTTAATGATTTCTGAAATTTTCTATATAACACACAATTCTATATAACACGTAAATTTATGTAATGCAAAGTCTCATGTGTCAAAGTATGCATTATAAAAATCTTTTGTAAGATGATTAAAAAGAATATATATTGAACCAGGGATAAATAAATTTAAACAAAAATTATTTAACAATTATGAAATAATAATAAATATTGAACAATTTTAAAGCATATTAAAAAATATCCTTTAGACCTTTCCAGTCCACTGCTTTTATTAGAGTGTAGATAAAAAATAAAACTGTAAATTAAATTAATAAAACGAAATTGTGAATTATATTTTAACTCAATAAATTGCTCTCTAAAAACATTGGAAATTAAATCCTTATGAATTTGTCAATGGAGTCTGTTCAGTGGAATTTGACGATGAACCTGTTCAATCAGAATGAGATGTCCAATACAACTGGAAAATCAGTTGCAAAGGGTAAATTTTTATAGCTCATAGATTCTATAGATATATATATATATATTTTTGGTTCAATTATATCTCGTTTTAAATTTTCATTTGTATAATTTTTTTTTTTTCATTTAGAGTGCTGATGAAAAAAGATACATAATTCTCTAACAAAAAAGGCTCAAGTTAAGCTTTTTTTACTGTCTTAAAATAATAATAATATTTAACAAAAATTAGGATTAAATTAAATTTTGAATTTTAAAAAGGTATATTTTATTATATATAACATTACTAAATTATAACTGTGGGAATACTTTTGTCATAGGAAATTAAATAAGAAATGAATTTTGTAGTTACCTTTTACAATTCAGATGAAATTGCCAGAACATTTTAATTTAAAAACTTAACTTTTATGTATGTAGAAATTATTTTTAGCATTAATTAAAAAAAAAAATCATATAAGAGGAACATTGAATATACTGTTTAATAAAATTAAATCATAATACCTACAAACAAACAATGAATCAGACAAACACCTTTAGACCAGAGCAACCTGTTGCAAAAACCTAATGGTCTTTGTTTTCCTTTTAAAGGAAAAAAAAAAAGTCTTTTTTTCTTAAAATAACTTTCTCATTCATTTGTCATAATTTAATGCATTTTAATGAAAAATGCTTAATTTCTTAAAGAATCCAAGTATTTAGTTATTAAAATATTTAAGAATTCTTTTTTAATAACTGTTCAAAGTTGGAAATTGTAGAACACTGCTCACTTACACTCTTTTTCGCTCTTTGTTAGAAGCAGGGCAATTGTGCCTATTCTAGGAGTTTTGATGAGGTTATTCAGATACTTGACACTCAGAGAGTATTCATCTAAAATAAAATTGAAGTTTTAGAGAGAGATTTCATAAGTAATAGATAGAGATATGAGATACCTAATCGATGAAAATATTAAAAAAAAGTATGTGATAAGAAAGCATGTATTAGAACATCTTGCCATATTTTAAAAAATAGCCCCCTTTCCATTAATGCAAGAATGTGAAGCTATTTGAATGATGTTTTGTTAAGGTTCATTTAAAGAATATTTGTTTTAGTTATACTTATTTGATTAAATAGGATAAATGTTGAGTAACTGATACATCTACTTATTGCATGCATTCTCAGTTCTTGTGTGGATCAGGTCTTAAGAAGACACCATACCGCGGAAGGGAATTTTCGTGGCAAATTCTCTTTCCCCTTCATTACTAATTTAAAAGNCTGAATCAGAGAACGATCGATCTCCAATCCAGTACCCCCAGAGGTTTTGATTTGTTATGGGAACGTGGAGGACTTTTGCGACTCGACAGATTTAACGTGCATCAGTCACTTTACTACACGGGGAGTCTTCGGCCGGCGGGGTTCGAACCCACGAACTTATTGCATGCATTCACAGCTGTTGTGTGGAGCAGGTCTTAAGAGGACACTATACCGTAGAAGATTTTTGTCACAAATTCTATTTCTCCTTCATTACTAATTTTAAAGAAGGAAAAGGTAAGTTCAGGCAAACCTAGAGTTTGTCATGAAATTTCAATTACTGAAAAAAATACTTCAAAATATTAAAATGCAAGCAAATTATTAGAAGAGAATTTCTCCGTTGCATAATCCTAAGTTATCATCTCATAATTTATTTACATTTGTATATTTTAAAATTTTCTTTTCAGTATTTGAAACTTCATGGCTTACTCTAGGTTTGTCTGAACTTACTTTTTCTGCACTTTAAATTAATAATGAAGGAGAAAGAGAATTTGCAACAAAAATTTCTTCCGCTGTAATTTAATTTCTTCTAATAAGAAATTAATTCAATTAAAAATTTTATTTTCAAATGTCGGCTTTTTGTATTTTTTAATTTGTGTAGCCTTCTTTAAAATTTAAATTGCATATTCTTTATATTAATAGTACTAGCTGCTTGTGGTATACAGTTGTTCCTTGTTATAAACTCACTGCTTTGTGACTCCAGATTGACTTATTCGACTGCCATTGACCTCCAAGTCATTCAAATTGTTATTTCATATCATGAATAAACATCACTTTACAGTTGCTTTCTCATTCTCATAGAGAGAATTTAAAAAATTAAAGGCATTACACATTTTAAGTACAATTCTTCTTCATACTTTGAGGCTGTGATATGGTGTCAAGGGACGTCTTTAATTCTCTCATCATTATGCATGATTTCGTTTTCCGTCTGTATTATGGGCAATTTATAATCCTTTCCCTATGTGTATAGATGAAAAATCGTTGCTGAGAGGTGGGATATAATAGGTCATATGCCAAATCATTTGAAAATTATATTTATATTACATCATTTCATATTTGAGGGAGAACAGCCAAATCATACAAAATTGAATTGTTTCATTATTAAAGTTAGGGAAAAATCTTTCAAATTTATCCTGATGATCTTTAAAGTCATATGCAAAAAGGGAATCATTATTATTTCTTATAACTCGTTTAAAAAAAAGTTGAGGGATCTCTTGAGTTCTTACGCTTAGTTAAGGAAAAAACTTAAAATGTTAACTCTGGCATTCTTTAATCTAAATTTAGAACTAAAATGCCCATGTGAATTCTAATTGTGGGAAAGCATTATGTTTTGAATAAAAAATTAAAGAGAATTTAAATAAAGAAATTACATTGAAAAATTAGTTAAATATTTCGTTAAACACACACACATATATATATGTATTAAAACCCTGTGTAAATGAAGTAAAAAAAATATTTAAGCGAGAAAAAAGAAAATATTTAATTTAGACCTGTCGAATCATGAACAAGAAAAATGAGGATAAAAACATTAAAACCTGTTTTATTGCTGTAAGAAACTAAGAAGTGGTGAAAGGGAATTAATAAAAACACCTTTAAGTTTCATCTGATAATCAAACTGGTTCTGCTGGCGTTATAATTAGGTTAATGAATATGGAATATCCTTTATATTACTCATAGAAAATGTTCTATACATTTTACAGGTATCGATTTAGAAAATAATTTTCATAAAGAAATATTGGATTTAATTTGATTTTTTAAACACATTAATCAAGAGATATATCAAATTATTAGAAGGGAAAGAAAACAAGAGTGCTAATCTTACTTTTTTTCTGTAGAAAAGTAGATACATTAACCATTTGCCAGGGTAACTGGTATATATTTTTTTATACTTTGATACATTATTATTATTACATGCAATAATAATAATGTATCAATGTATAATAGGAAAACATCCTCTCAAATATATCTCTAATCTGTACAAAAAAAAAAAAAAATTGCATTTATGATTTGGAAATTTCATTTACCTTTAATATCTAATTTTCCTATTGCTTTGAGTAAACTGATTAATAGTTGGCTGTCTAATTTGTATGTTAGGAACTTGGGAAGTTCTTCGGGCTTAATTCTAAGTAAGATATCAGCTCCAGCTTCATTGTCTTTATAGGCATTTTCTTGAGACCACATATTGATGAATTCAAATGGAGTCACCTATTTAATTACAAAAATAATTTGAAGCAGTGTTAAACAACTTTTCCAGATCACTCACAAATGAATTTGGAGGTAAATACTACATGAAGTAAATACTATAAGGTTATATATGAAATAGCATACTAGCTAAAAGACTACGATTTTGTAGATATTTATAGGTTGTCTATTGAAAGAATTCCCTTCGTCACTAAGCTTAAGGTCGCCTGCTTCTATGGAAACAAGAAGTAGCACAATGGACAACTATTCGAATTTTCATTTTGTGACGTAGCTAAGTTAATTGTTAACCGATCATAAATACAAAGCGTCCTCATAAAGTCCTCCTTTTTTGTTTTGTTCTGAATATAAACAGAAACCCATTCTGAAGTGGTATTCCTGTTCTCAAATATGTACAAAGCAGAATTTACCTTTAAGGAAAATATAAATACTCAAACGCTTCACATGAATGGCGTGGGTAGTTCTTTACATAGACAGACTGTACGGATTCTTTTGTCAAAATTTCTTTAACCATTTTCCGTAAATATAGTCGAATTTTGTCCATATTGCGTTCAATTTCCTCTTTTTAAGTGTGGATCATTATTGCTTTGTTGGCTAAAACCTTAGCCACGATCTTAGGACGTCAAATCATATGATTCGGGTGACTAATTCTGATAATCTAGTCTGGAGAGCCGTGATGGCTCAGGTGATAGAGCGTTGCTTTCCAATGAGGTGAACCGGGTTCGAATCTCAGCGCTGGCTGGTCGATACGAATTCCGCACGCAGCTACCAAAGACATTAGTGCTGACGTAAAGCGTGCTCAGTTGTAGACGTATCACAGATTAGAGTCCCCTTGCTGTCAGGCTAACCGTTGGAGATTTTCGTGGCTTTCCTCTCCATGAAACGCAAATGTGGGTTAGTTCCATCAAAAAGTCCTCCACGAAGGCAATTTCCCCCCAATACTTGATCCAAGAGTTCCCTTGTCTTCTAGATTGGGTTCAAAATTACAACGCTACGGCGTTAAACATTGGTAGCCGTAAACTCAAAATTGACTGTTCAACGACGGTTATACAATTAAATAAAATCTAGTCTGGAAAATGCACAATTCGGGGATCACCCGACAATACTCAACAATAAAAAAAATATTATTATTCTGTCCATTTTCAATAATCCTGAACTGTCAGTTACAGCTTTATTATAAGCAACAATTTATAGCATAAGGAGTGTACATTTAAATCTTGCACAATTAAACTTGGGACACTCTAAAGATAAACAAAAGCTACGTACTTTGGTTTCCACGTTTTGTTCTTTACTTTTCTCTGTCGGACCAGGAACATTTCTCTTATCAAAGTTACCAACTTCATTACTTATTTCAGTTGATTTAACTGTTTTATTCTCATTCGTATGCAGCAGTATATTGTCTTTAAAACTTCTAACGGCGTTACTACTGTTCGAATTTTCAGTAGCTTCCTCGCAACTTCCCTTTTTAAAATCCTGAACACTGTCATCAAGAACTTTTAGATCAAAAGATTTAATTTTATCAGTTGTTTCTTCAATTGAATTTAGAACATTAGTTTTAGTTTTGTCTCCTGTAAATTCTTCAGCATTGCAGGATTTAATTACTTGCAAATTACTGCAGTATTTCGTTCGTTTGTCAGGGGTTTGCGGTAATTCTTTTGGAGTCGATTCCTTATTTTGAGTTATCAAAAACATGTTCTTTACTTTCTGAGGAAGTGGCCGATCCTCGTTTTGTTCTTCGTTGAAATGGCAAAGATCATCTAGCATGATATGTTTTCTATTTTCACTCGATTCAATTTCTTCGATAGTTATTTTGGTGGCTGTTTCGTCTTCATTAAATGATTTCTTTTCATCAAGTGCTGTGCCTATTTCATTATCACTCGAGTCCAATTCTTCAATTAGGATCTTTGCTTCTGTATTTTTATTGCCCTTTTCGTTCTCCATTTGTTGCAACTGATTCTGTTTAGTGAAAAAAAAAAACATTTAAAAATAAGAAAATTATTTTTTGAGTTCGCCAAAAAATATTTAATAAAAGATATTTCTTGAACTACAATTAATTATGACTTAAATTTTAAAAATTTTTTAAAAAAAATGTGGATGCCTTGTATATGGAAGTTTTGATCAAGATTTTATTTATATGGGATATCTTTCTTTGAAATTTTATTTATCTTTTTTTTATTCCTCAAAAAAGGAAATAAAAGAACCTCCAGATTTATTTTGATTGGATTGCTTACTCTTTTTTCTTTATTTTAAATTTTTTTTTTTAATAGAAAGCTATTACAAAATCTATATGTAGATAAAGAGGACTATTACAGATTTTCTATAACTACGGAGTTTTGTTCTAATTAAGGAAATATTTTGGCAATTATTTAATTTTTCTTAAATTATTTTTTGCTAACCTCTCTGTGGTTTGTCAATCCCTTTGTTTGTTAATCCTAAACTTTTTCGCGCAATAGACAAGTCATTTCCCCCCTCGTAAATTGTATTCAGAGCAATATTTTCAATACTTAGATAAATTCTGGCTATGTAATCTTTACACAATTAAAAACATTGCAACTTATTTTAATGTTTGATCTAATTTGAATCAAAATCAATTATGTATAGCTCTTTTTTTCGGAAAATAACAAGAAAAATAATCGCTGTTTCTGTTGAAAGAAGAAGAAAAAAAAAGTTGGTTTCCTTGTCTAGGACATATGATGGTCCTATATGCTGAAGAATAGTATCAACTTTTTGAAACTCTTGAAATTTATTCACTATATCATAAGAACTCGCAATGGGAATGTGCGCATCAATTAAAAAAGTCAAATAAATTTATCGCTTTTATAATTTACAAATCAACAATTTTTACATACTTGTGCAGCTTGACAATCTGGGTCTATTCCCAGTACCAAATAGAAATCAATAGCCGCTAAATCATATAGACCAGCCTCTTTGTGAGCTAAACCTCTCCTATAAATAGCTGCAAATGAACGAGTAAAATATTTTTTACGGATTTCACTTGAATGAGTATTGAAAAAGAAATGTTGTGCGAGAAATTAAATAGATGCAAACCTTTTATATTATCCGGTTCCAGGTTCAATACTTCAATGCAATCTTTTACAGCTGCTTTATAATTTTTCAACTTGATATCTAAATAAAAATCTTTAAATTTTAATGTTTTTAAGTAATCTAAGTTTTTATTTAGATTAAATAAATTTTAGAGTTCTAAGCGTAATTTGAAATATACATAATACATTTAGTATCTCATATTAATATCTTTAAATTGATTAAAATAATTTTTGTAATCAGTGTTAATATCCTTAAATAATTTAGAATAGATTTGATATCTATGAACTAAATACTTTAAGCAAGTTTAAAAAACTAACTGCTAGGTTTTAGTTGAAACAGAAAATAATCATTCAGCTTTTATTATCTATGCAAATGCTATTCAAATCTATGAAAAATTTTGTATGCGTGTGCATTTTTTGATAGAAATTATAACTTAGGATTCGTAATTGCGCAAACGTTATCAATATCATATTTTATCATGAAAATATATAAACATTTTAAAAAGTTCTATCGTATAAAATTACTAGAAATGAAATTATGAGATAATTATGAAATAAAATTATGAGTAAATGTACAACGAAAGTCTCAAAAAGTGAAACATTTAAACTATGGATAAAAATGCGTAAGATTTTTTCCCCATTTATATATTTGATAAAAAGAATATTTTAAGGAGACTATAGAACAGAGGTCGCCAAGAAATTCGACTTTCGTTTGCAAACTTTTGAGATTAAAAAAAAAATCACATTCTTTACTAATTATTATTTTAATTTCTCCCCACTGTTATTTAAAAAAAATATTTCCTTAATAATTTATACAAACAATTTATACTTCCAAAAATTTTTTTGGCTGACCAGGTTTTGATTTTCTGCTGTCCGCCAGCTTCAATCCATTGTGCTACAACAATTCCCAAATGGTGTTCTGCGGTACCCTAGGGTTCGGTGGTCGCATTAAAGGGGTTCCGCGAGTTAGTACATTTTAGAACCAGTGATGAGTTTTGAAACTTCTGATTATATTTAGATCCAACCTATAATCCAAAATTTATTTAATCTTACGATTGCCTTTATAGGAAGTGAAATGCCAATAAAATAGAAATGACATTTTTCAAAACAAAACATAGCATTTCTAACAGCAATATATCGAACAAATTATGAAAAAAATAAGCATTTATAAAATATTGCATAGTATTTCCTATTACGTTTTTCAAATCAAAATAAAATAATTCTTTTATAAGGAAGTATGTTTCCATTTTCAACATTCATAGCAGTTCTTTTTAGTTTTCTTCTCGAAGTTAACTATAATTCGGCTTATTTTAATCATTTTCAGCTTATGTATATACATCAAAAACAATTTCATAACTAGACTAAAGATAGCAGAAGGACTGCAAATTCAACTCTCGAACATAAAACTACGAAAAATCTTCATTCCTCTAGTTAAATATTATAAAAATAGTCTTATAAGTTATGACGTTCACAATTACTTCCACAAACTTTATTTATCAAGTCGGATTTCCACCGAAAGAAGGTTGATTATTTAGGGTTAAGTAGCCGAAAAGAATTGGGACCCACTGAGCACAGAACATAGAATTCATGTGACAGTTTCAAATCATAAGAAAAGTTAAAGTTAGCTTCAAATTATTAAATAATAACCTAAATCTATTTATTAACCCTGAGAAAGAGATTCGTATCTTAAATAAAAATATAAAGGCGTTTTTCAATAATATATTCATCAATACCTTAAAATACTGTTTAATTATCGATATAAAATTCACTATACAGGTTAATCGTGTTCGAAACTTTAGCAGTCTTCAAATAAATAACTAAAATTTATTATTTAATTCTAAAAATTAGTTATAAATATGTTATTAATTCATTATAATTTAAATTATAGCATAATATATAAATACATCATAAAAGGTCCCACAGTGGACTGATCGTTAAGACACGGTTCCCAGAAGATCACCGAAGTCAAGCATCACTGGCTGCGGTCAGTGTGCGGGTGGGAGACCACTTGGATCAGTTTGCGTAGGGACCGAGAGTGTGTGGTATGGGTCCTCGTTAAACTTTTCTACCGTAAAGTGCTCGACTTCACATGCGGGTCGTTGGGTTACCGAAGCGGGGGTGCCATCCCCTTTGCAGAGAATCAAAATTGTGATGGCTTGTCTTCGGATCATCCTTAGGGATGTTTCCTAGACCGTCGCCAATAGCCCATTGTGCAGCTCTAGTGCGACGCAAATTAACAACAACAACAACATCATAAAAGAATATTTATGAATATATTCATGCATTACATAAATTCTTAACGAAAAATAATAACTTAAATCTACTTATTAAACCTGAGAAAAAAGATTCATATCTTAAATAAAAACGTTAAGTCTTTTCTTCCATAACCTATTCATCAATACCTCAAAATACTGTTTAGTTATCGATATAAAATTCATTATATTTACAGGTTAATAGTGTTAGAAATTTTAACGATCTTAAAACAAACTATAATTTATAACTTAGTTCTAAGAATTAGTTATAAACATATGATTCATTTATTAATTTAAATCATAAAAGAATATATTGAGACATCATAAAAGAATATATTCATGCATTACACAAATCCTTACATGCTTGTGCTCTGTTATTCAATGTCTTTGTTGTTTTATGAACAGATAAGCTACGAGAATAATATGTGACAGCTTCTTCATATTCTTTAGCCTTAAAAGCCTTTAACAAAAAGTATTAATACATTAACTCTTTGATATTGAACTCTAAGACTGCACAAGTAACTCAAAGATACAACATACGATAGTATTTATCAATTTCCATATTGCAAAAATCCTGATATGTGTCTTCATTAATGTTTAATTATATGGTGAAAAAATTGATAAACGTTTACAACCACCATATATATTATCTTAACTGAAAGAATATCGTATTCTCTTTATTTATTTTTTTTTTAAATTTTTGTTTTTCGGGAAATCAGAAATAGTTGGCCGTTTCTTTAAATTTCAAAGTTTGAATATCGGAGCGAAAATTCATGATTTTAATTAGAGTGCTAATTCCGTCATACCTTCTTGGATATGACGTCATAACATTATAAGAATGACGTCATATTTCCAATTTCTCATACATTTTAAGATACAAATTTACACTTTTTTCTGTAATTATGTACTTTAAGGATTTGGGGGTTGTTAAAATTACTATGTAGCATAGGTAGTTCCTGGAAATCATCCTCTTCATCTGTAGCCCTACCGCCTACTTCAGTCCATGGTTGTCTCCAATCTTCCATCGGGAATTATTCGCTGCTACAGTTCTTTAACGGTTGATCGCAATATTATGGAACGCTTTCTCAACTGTATCAAGAAATCTGATGTTTGTCTACCTCTTTTCCTTCACATTTTTGAAATGCCACTTTTTTCGTTAGGTTTAAATTATTGTATCTGTAGATATGTCCAAGTTATCTTAATTAATATACTTTTATAGTGTTTTCACTATGTTTGGTTCTCTGAATTCAGTGTGAAGTTCGTTATTTTAACTGATTCCAAGCATTATTTTAATTTGAGATCAGCAAATATTTTTCTAGATATTTTTCGTTCAAATATTAATAACTTATTTTCCTCAACTTTGTTCAAGTCCAGCATTCGATTCCATGTATATTTATTGGTTTTATAAATGTTTATCTTAGTTTTTGAGCTTAAGTATTTTGATTTAAAGTGATTTCTTAATCCATAGTTACATTTGTTTGACATTTAATCTGTTATTCTTTTCAATTTTAATATCATTATTTTTTGTTACAACTGAACCTAGATATTTGATCCGTCCAACATATTTAAAACTGTAATCTCCTATTATCATTGGTAGTATATCAGGTCTTTTGTGTGTTTCAGGCCCGTAGCCAGGAGGGGGGACCGTCGGGACAAATCCCCCCCCCCCAAATTCTGGGATTTAAACTTTTTAGTCTTTCTTTGAGCCTCTCAGTAAAAAGAAAAACAAAAACTGTCGAATCAAACCTTTTATTAACTAACTTTATTAAGCATATTGCGGGATATTCTGGTTTGTCCTAAGAAAGTAATCAAAAACTTTTCTTCAAATCCCCGTCGCATGTCCTTGTAAACTTTGTTTACAAATTGATTATAATTATTATGTAATATTAATTGAAAAATAATTATTATGTAATATTTTTTAATTACTAGTTTAACTTTTGCAAACAACAGAATAAACAATATTTGTTACAATGTTTTCCCCCTACTTTGCATGTCTGAAACTGTCCTTGCTTCTTACCATATCCCCCC